ATCTCTTGACCTCGTGATCCATCCTCTTTGGCCTTCCTAAGTGCTGGGATTATAGGCATCAGCCACCGCGCCAGCCACATTGTCTTTACCTTTATTATTGGGTCAAGATCTTGAGGATTGAGACTCTCCTCTTCTCCTTTGGGCCCTGTGATTAATGCCAATTCTCATGTTATGTAGGTAGTCAGTATTTGAAGATGACAGGCACAAAAAGTTCAGTTGCAAGATGTGTGACTGGTGTATGTGTCCATTGCTAATGCTAATTTGGACGGTAGGGGTAGATATAAATTATATTTTTATTAAATAAGAGATCGTCTGGGAAGATGCCTTATAAGTCGTAAGACCCTATGCCAAAAAAAGCGTTTAATTTTTTTTCATAAAACATTTCATGAAAACTTTTTTTTTTCTTGTTTTTCATAAAAGAGACATCAGTTGACCTAAAAACGAAGTAATTTTTTGTTTGGTTAAATTTCCTCTAAATGTAACTTTTCCCACTAGTGAGGAGACTGGTAACAAACTAAAAAACTATGTGAAGGGAAATTAACATATTGGAACAGGTATTGCCACATCTCCCTACAAATTTAGGGAGAAAAAGTGAGTTCCCTGATTAATCCTAAATTCCCTCTGCTCTTGTTTTGTTAGTGACTGTTCTGCTGTTTTGTTAGTGGTGATGAGGGTGTTCTGCTTTAACACCTGGAAACCCCTGTGATAACGTCCTAGACCTTGCATTATTGGGAAGTCTTGCAAGCATCATGGCCATGTGTGAGTTTTCTCATCTTCCTCAATTTACCTAACCTACCTTCCTTACCGTTTGGTAATGGGTAGCAGGAGATAATTCTTAAGAACTCGTTAAAACTACAGATGTTATAAAGTAAAGCTGGATAATTCCCTGAGCTGGCAGCATTCAAATTGTATGAGGAACAAATACTTTTGTTTGCTACCTAAGGTAGTAGAACAGATATAATCAATCTATTCTACATTTATTTCATTCTCTTTTGACTCTTTGGTAGTGCTACAAAAATATTAAATGTTAATCCTAGAATCACAAAACATCCTATATTTAAGCACTAAAGTGATGTCAATCCTAAGGCAGGAGAAAGTCTGAATCTTCTCCTATGCAGAATTTTTAAAATACAATGTCAAATAAATCCTCAGACTTAGGAGAGACTTTATTCAAAAGGGTTATTGCAGGAGGAGAAAAGGCACTTTTGCAATGGGTGGAACCAAAAGATCTGCAAGAGTCTCCAAGGAGTGAACTTGCTAGAAAGAATTGGTGTGAGGAAGTAGGATATAAGAGTGGCTTGATCTCGTAGTAGATCTGAGAAACTTATTCCCTGGCTCTGGCTGAGAGTTGGCCAAACTTCAGGGACCTGGGGGAGGAAGAGAAACTAAAGTTCGATTAACGAGTGTTTTCTTCCATTTGATCTGTAGGGCCAAGCAGCTCAGCATATTATTCATAAATTCATAATTGAAGCAAAAAATGGGAATTTGGAGGGTCTTTCTCTTGCCTGATCATAGGTAAACAAGGAGGGATCCTTGAGTCTTACCTAACTCAAGCGTGGGAGGATTTTTTAAATTATGACTAATAAAGAACCAGCACAGGACTCAAGCAAATTCAACTTGTCAAAAAGCATCTTTATTATTTGTTATTGAAAAGTATTGAACACCTGGATTTTATTTATACCATGGTGAATTTCGAAGATTGGGGTTTTGGTTATTGATTTGTTATAAGAAGCTGGATTTTTTTTCTTCTCCCATGATGAATACTAGGTTTTATACTGACCAAAATGATTGACTGGAGCAAATAAATCTTTTCTTGTGTTAAAAGATTATTAACATAGGAAATGGGAAGATGCTATAACCAGTTTAACTGACAATAAAAGGTAGACATGCTTATAGAGCAGGAATATTGAAATAAATGTGCAAGTGAAGGCAAAATTGGCTATTTCCACGGTGAGACGGAAGTCCATCGAACCTTCACCAGATAGAATTTACAAGAATACAGACAAGTATTTTGCATTGCTATTGGTTATCTACAGTTGACAGTTGTAAAATTGCTCCAAGATGCTGAAAGAATCAGACTTCCATATAATCAGAATGTGAAAACCTGAAAGGCTGTGCTCTCAACAGTGCAGTTTTCTATTGAAGCACATGTTTTTCTCTGTCCTTAGTGCATCAAGTTTAAATCTCCTGTCCCCCAATAATCTTCCCTAGGTTAGACTTCCTGTAGAGCCGATACATATCTGTGTTTTTCTTATTCTTTTTTGATATCTTCTATAAAATACAGAAGTAATTCATTGCCTGTAAAATATAGAAGATATCAAAACATTTCAAATTTAAATTTTTTAAATTGAATTCTCTGAAGCAGTACCTGACAAACTGTAATGTGCTTACAAATCACCTGGGGATCTTTTTTGAAATGCAGATCCTGATTCTTTGGGTCTGGGGCTGATACTGAGTTCCGCACTTCTACTGAGGTCTCAGCTGATGCCAGTGCTGATTCAGGGATAGTAAATAGTAATGCATTTCCGGCTATGTTAATTAAGGAAGGGGCCAGGTAAATCATCCTTATGGAAGAACTTAGCACTGTACTGTAGGTAAAAGGAACAACATGAAATTGCTGGACTGTCATTTGAAGAAAATAAAATATAAATTGTAGGCCACATTGCCAGAACACAGACCAAAATGAGCAAAAACAGTTGCTAGGAAACAGACCCAAAGAGCTCTACAGCAGAACTTTAGCTTATAGGAGGGAGACAGAAAGAGCTAGAAATGAGGACATTGAGGAATATAACAGAGGAACAACAGCCAGACGGTGTAATTTTTAGAAGGCAGACAGTGACCACTTATGATCAGTGTCTGAAATTTAGTGTGCCTTGAGCTGGCTGGACTTGGACTCTTTCACAGTATGTGAATGAACTGCCTAATCATAGATCAGAAATCTAACCTATGGAAGACTAAGTGTAGAACTACGTTGACTTAGGTGTGAGCACTTTTACTCAAGCGAGTGGGATTAGTTTGCTGCTGTGTTTTAATCTGTGTAAAATTTAGTTTTTATCACAGTTGACAATGTCTTTTATCAGATAGGATATTTTAATTTTAAAATGAGCTGATCCTGTAAAGATGTAATTCATTGTCTGAAATTCAAATTTAATAGGACATCCTGCGTTTTTTATTTGCCAAATCTGGTGACCCCATTTTCTACATCTAGTAAGTAGAGATCTTTCTTTGGTGCCAGCTCAATGTCCTGCCTGTTACTAAGAAAAACCTGAACTTCCTGTAAACAAATCACAGAACCCACCTGCTCAGAAGGCTGAAGTGAGAGGATCACTTGAGGCCAGGAATTTCAGAAATAGGTATTCAACTTCACTGACACAAGTTACAGAGTCTGTTCCATTAGCTTCCATTAATCATGATGAATTCTTGTGAATTTTGTAGTAATTTAGTCAGGATTAAAGGAAACTAATGGAACAGAGACTCCCTAATAACTAAAGAAAATAATTTTTTACCTAAAATTAAAATTAATAGGGTAAATGAAATTAGCCTAAAGGGTCAAAATGTATTATTACTATGGACAGATAAGGTTTCTAAAGTAATTATATTCCTAAATCCAAGATGCTTTTCCTATCAATTATGGCTGAAGTAGCCCAAGTTTTGAATGCTAGGAAATAGCTTTATGATAAAAAAAAAAAAATTCCATTATAGATCTGTGGCTAAAAATTGGTGACAGTTACCTACAAACGTAAAGAATCTGTGGCATTAACAAGATACTAAGCATTTTCTGTACAGTGCTGAGGAATAGTTGATCTAGTTTCCCTTGTATTGACTATTAAGAAAAGTCAGAGCCAGATTATATCCCTTATTTGCTAAGATACATTCCCACATAGTTTGTTGTTTTGTAACTTTACCTCTGGTTTGCTTTTTTTCCTCCTTAATTTATCTTAATTATCTGTTTGAAGAAAAAAAAAAATTTTTTTTTTTTTTTTTTTTGAGACAGGAGTCTCACTTTGTTGCCCAGGCTGGAGTGCAGTGATACAATCTTGGCTCACCACAACCTCCGCCTCCTGGGTTCAAGAGATTCTTACGCCTTAGCTTCCCATGTAGCTGCACTAGCACACCCGACTAATATTTTTGTATTTTTAGTAGAGATGGGGTTTCCCTGTATTAGCCAGTCTGGCCTAGAACTCCTGCCTTCAAGTGACCCACCCACGTCAGCCTCCCAAAGTGCTTGGATTATAGGCGGAGCCACAGCTCCTGGCTAGAAAAAAATTTTCTAATACTGTGATAGAAGCCATTTTATCTGATTTGACTGGGGCCTATATTAGTTCATGGTAAAAATCTGGCTAAAACAGAATAAATGAATAGAAATATACTGTTTTAATCAGCTTTAAAGCATTTTTTCAGTTAAAATGTTCCATAACATTTTTTAACACTGTAAAGTGTATTTTATTTTTTAACTTTCTAAATATAGTATTTTGACCTAAAACGCAGACAGACATTTATTCACCATTTTTTGTCACCTGAGGCCAGGGTCTTTACTTTTTATATAATTTTGCTGATTATTGTTTTTCTCTGAAGAAGCCATATCCAAAAGTGTTTAAGATTTCTCTCCAGTTCTTTTTTTTTTTTTTTAATTTGGCTCCAAGCTTAAAAACATTTGTAAAATTGCTGAATCCTAGATTTCACAGTAGTACCACTCAGATTTCAGTGGTTCACATCTTTTCTCAATAGCAGTTTTTTTCCTAATGACTTGCATTGATTGCATCTTTTCTTGAGAATTCAAATTCATTTTGTTTGCTTTGAAAAATATTATTTAGGAAAATTTCAAATAGCAACTATGGACAGTAGTGAGGCACTTATGTACATGTCACCAAGCCTTATTTTCTGTAGATTTTTTTGGGGAAAAAAATGCTTTTTCCCCTAAGAAGTATCACACATGTATATTTTAGTATATATTCACATTTCGCCTATAAATCTTATATACTATCTTATTTTAAAAATTTTACCTTTAATGATGATACTATATAACCTTTGCAACTTTTTTCACTTAAGATTGTCTTTGAGATTTATTCATGTAATTCATGTAGTTTATTCGTTTTAACTGTTGTAACATGTAGGAGTCCGTTGTATAAGTAATAATTTCACATCCTTTGCAATTATGTTATTTGTCATCTTTCACAGTGAATGCTGAAAGTTATAACTTGTGCTCACATTGGAGATATTTTTCTCCAACTGACACCCAAAACTGAAAAGAGCTCAGTCCCAAAGTGCATGCTTCCTCAGTGTTACAAGAAATTGCCAAAAACATTCTAAAACAGTTGCAGCAATTTACATTCCTACCAAAGATATTATAAGGAGCACGTAAGAGTTTGCCACACCTTAACCAGATATCAGATTTTTAAATTGATTTCAAGCAAATGTTTAAGAATATTTAATTTGCATTTTCCTAGGAACTATGATGGAAAGAGTTTGTATTGCCTAGCTATATTTGTCTAGTTTTCCAGTGGACTGTCATTTTCTAATTGATTTTTAGAAGTGAGGAGTTACGTGAATATTTGCAATAATAATCCTAACAATGCCTTTCAAGTGTCATTGTTTTCTCCTTTAGTTATACAGAAATGTGTAAATTGTACATATAATCAAATGTATCTGTCTTTTTTTTCTTTTTGGTACTTGCTTGCTTGTTTGAAATTCTTCCCTACTCCCATGTCACAAAACATTCTTTATTTTCTCATAAACATGTTTAGTTTTTCTTTTCATGTTTAATTCTTTAATCTACCTGTAATTGATTTTTGTTTGTGCAGAAGAGATCTAATTCTTTTTCCATATAGTTAACTAGTTAAATTCCCTTCTACATTAATGTGTGATACCCATTGATTAAATAGTACCACGTGTCATATACCTAGCCCTCATCTATTCATGGATCTGTTTGTTTATGCTATACCAATACCACAGTTTGAATTAGAATAGGTTTATAGTACAGCATCTTACTGTATTTTACTACAACATTATCTTGACTTTCTTAGAACTTTATTCTTTCATTTAGACCAGCTTACTAAATTCCAAGGGGGTGGGAGTAGAAAATCTGATGGAACTTTGATTGGGATAGCACTGAGTTTATAGATGAATTCCTGGAGAATTGACATATTTTTTTATAGTGAAGCACTCCATGATACATAGCTGCATTTATTTAGGGTATTGATTTTTGTCTTTCAGTTTGATAATTTTCTCCATGAAGGTCTTGTTGTATGTCTTTTGTAAGATTCACATATTTTGTAAGATATGGTGTTTTTTGGTTTCTAGCATCCCTGGTGAATTTTCTTACTAGTTCGAATAGTTTGTTAAACCTCTTATATTTCTCATGTAGATGTTGATATCATCTTTGGATAATATTTCTTATTTCCTCCTGTTTAAACTCTTATAGGGTCCTAAATATCTGTAATAGCAGGTGATCTGATGAAGTTCTGGTTTTACAGGGAATGCTTCTGTTTGATTATTAAATGTTTATAATAGGACTTTGGTAAATACCTTTTTTTCCCCTTATTTTCTTTTAGACGGGTGTTGAATTTTATCAAATGTTTTTTCAGTTTCTTAGATAAACTTGCAGCACAAATTTGATTCTCTTTTTCTCTAGGGTGATCAGCCCATGACCTAGACCTCTAGACAAAATAAAGCAGGGAAAATTTGCTAGAATCAAGAATGATGGATCCATGTTCAGTTGGAGTCCAGCTTCGTACTACAAATGAGTGCCATAAAACATACTATACTCGTCACACAGGTTTTAAGACTTTGCAAGAATTGTCATCAAATGATATGCTTTTACTTCAACTTAGAACTGGAATGACACTTTCTGGGAACAATACAATTTGCTTTCATCATGTGAAAATTTACATTGACAGATTTGAGGATTTACAGAAGTCATGTTGTGACCCATTTAACATACACAAAAAACTAGCAAAAAAGAATTTGCATGTAATTGACTTAGATGATGCCACTTTTCTGAGTGCAAAATTCGGAAGACAACTTGTACCTGGTTGGAAGCTTTGTCCAAAATGCACACAGATAATCAACGGAAGTGTGGATGTTGATACTGAAGACCGCCAGAGAAGGAAACCTGAGTCAGATGTATGTATAGCAGTTATTTTTTTCTACTGTGTGATTTCTACCATGTATGATTTTGCTTAACTGTAAGGAAGCTATATTTACATTATTACTGTATTTGTTAGTGTACAGTGAATTAAAAGGAGGGGGAAAGTGGATGATGTTTCTAAATGTGATTTACATATACTGAAGGTCAAGACTGGGGAATAAAGGAAGTAGGCCTGTGAAAGGAATAATAAAATATGCCTAAGACTCTAAGCTACAACTTTTAGTACTAAGACTTTAGGAGTAGGTTTGAGAGCATTCCGGCCAAGCCAAGATTTAGTTTCTTTTCTGATACCAAAGTATAACCACATGGGACATGGCAACCAGCAAGGGTCTTTGTAGCAGGATGAATTCCCCTTTTTATGAAGGACTTGAAAATCACTCCTTTAAAAGGAACATTGGAGAGGTGACTTAACAGTAATTGTTTTTTATTTCACTCTTTCTCCTTTGACACGATGCCATTGAGTTTTTTAAATGCTTGTGAGTTTTCTTTGCTTCTAGCTCTGAATTCCTACTTGGTATGGTCAAGGCTAATTTTAGGACTCCCTGTGGTTAAAAAAAATACATTTTTACATCGTAAAGTATTAAATATTTTACCTGTATTCCTTATTTACATGCCTACATGCATATTTAACTGTATCCGAGCAACTTAAGATTTCATAAAGCCATGTTTTGTGTGGGAAAACTATGTCAAAGAAGCACTTCTCAGAATTTTTACCTGTAATGATTTCATAATTCTTACTGCTGGAATACTTTTCTCAATTTTCTCCTTTTTATTAAACCAGGTTAAAAGATAGTTGAAATTTGAAATTATACTGTTTTCCTGTTGTTCTCTTTTCAGTGGCACATCTTTAGGGCCCAATTTATCTGCAGTTCATACTAGATACTTGCTGATAGTGTCACTGTAGATGTTTTCACCTTATCTATCCAATGTTCTTATAGAATGTATCAACTGAGGCTCTTTCTTCCCCAAATAACAAACATAAACCCTTAAACGCCAAAATTTCCTTTTGCCAAAGCTTTTTAAAAAGATTATAATATTATTCTAGAACTTGAAATCATATTCTCTGCTCTTAGAAATATATAAAATAAGGCCGGGCGCGGTGGCTCACACCTGTAATCCCAGCACTTTGGGAGGCCGAGGCAGGTGGATCACGAGGTCAAGAGATCGAGACCATCCTGGTCAACATGGTGAAACCCCGTCTCTACTAAAAATACAAAAAATTAGCTGGGCATGGTGGCGCATGCATGTAATCCCAGCTACTCAGGAGGCTGAGGCAGGTGAATTGCCTGAACCCGGGAGGCGGAGGTTGCGGTGAGCCAAGATCACGCCATTGCACTCCAGCCTGGGTAACAAGAGCGAAACTCCGTCTCAAAAAAAAACAAAAAAAAAAAGAAATATATAAAATACAATAATAAGGACCCAAGATTCTTAGGAAATCTGTTATGTGCCACTGGGATATACAGCCTGTTTCGTGCCTTCTCTCCTGTGTTGGCAGCAGCCATTGCAGTTTTCACAATATCTTCCTCCTCTGCTCCTAATACACCAGAGACTAAAATCAAATAATGGAAATGTTGCTAATACATTAACCAGTAAGCTTTGAATGTGGTCTAGGGCCATGTAAATTTTCTTGCCCTTGTTTTCTTGTTTGTGTGTTCCAGACTGTCTTCCAGGTTAGGGAATCATCTGTTTTAACATTAAATGAAACATTAATCTATTGTCTGATGTCCAGACTTGAGTTGATAATTTGTTTACCTTTCTTCAGGGAAGAACTGCGAAAGCTTTGAGGTCATTACAATTTACAAATCCAGGAAGGCAAACTGAATTTGCTCCAGAAACTGGTAAAAGAGAAAAAAGAAGGCTTACAAAAAATGCAACCGCTGGTTCAGACAGGTAGGCTGTTACTGAAGACATGTTAACTTGCTGCTTCATATCTGTATTGTTACCCTATTTTTCTCTTAAATCTTGAATTTTCTGAGTTTATATTTTAAATTGGATAATATGGAATTAGTAAAAATCTATGAAGGCCTTTGTTTTTATTCATATAAAATTAAGGTATCCCTGTCAACTCCAAAACTTTGTTTCTAAGAAGGTAGCAAGTAATTACTGAAGAAAGTAATTTTGGCATGAGAGTTACAATAATTACAATTAAGATAATTCACTTATTTGAAAAGCGTTGTTATTATATATGGGCATACCTCATTTTACAGGTGCTTTACTTTATTGCTCTCTACAAGGTGCTTTTTTTTTTTTTTTCCTTCCACAAATTGAAAGTTTATGGCAACTCTGGTAAGCAAGTCTACTGGTGTCATTTTTCTAACAGCATGTACTCTCTATCTCTGTCACATTTTGATAATTCTTGAAATGTTTCCAGCTGTTTCATTACTATATCTGTTATGATGATCTTTGGCATTACTATTATAGTTTTGAGTCGCTAGGAACCACACCGATGTAAGGTGGTGAACTTAGTTGATAAATGCTGTGTGTGTTGTTACTGCTCCACCTACTGGCTGTTCCCCTAGACTCTCTCCCTCTTCTCTGGTGTCCCTATTTCCTGAGAAACAAATATATTGAAATTAGTCCAACTAATAACCCTGCAATGGCTTCTAAGTGTTCAAGTGAAATGAAGAGTCAAGTGTCTCATTTTTTAAAATAAGCTAGAAATGATTAAGCTTGGGAGGAAGGCATGTCAAAAGCTGAGACAGGCCAAAAGCAGAGCCTCTTGCACTAAACAGTTAGTTGTGAATGCAAAGAAAACGTTCAGGAAGGAAATTAAAAGTACAATTCCAGTGAACACAAATGATAAGAAAGCAAGACAGCTTTATTGCTAATACTTAAATGGTCTGGATAGATGATCAAACCAGCTATAACACATTCCCTTTTAAGCGAAAGCCTAATCCAAAGCAAGGTTCTAATCCTGTTTAGTTCTCTGAATGCTGAAAGAAGTGAAGGAGCTTCAGAAGAAAAGTTTGGAACTAGCAGAGGTTCGTTTATGAGGAGGGCAAGGAAAGAAGCCATCTCCATAACGTAAAAATGCAAGGTGAAGCAGCAAGTTATCAAGAAGGTCTAGCTAAGGTAATTGATGAAGGTGGCTGGCTACACTACCCAACAGATGTTCAGTGTAGACAAACAGCTGCCTTTTTTTTTTTTTTTTTTTTTTTTTTTTTGGACAGTCTTGCTCTGTTGCCCAGGCTGGAGTGCAGTGATGGCACGATCTCAGCTCACTGCAACCTCCACCTCCTGGGTTCAAGTGATTGTTCTGCCTTAGCCTCCTGAGTGGCTGGGACTACAGGCGTGTGCCACCATACCCGGCTAACTTTTTGTCTTTTTAGTAGAGACAGAGTTTCATCAGTTAGCCAGGATGGTCTCCATCTCCTGACTTCATGATCTGCTTGCATCGTCCTCTCAAAGTGCTGGGATTACAGACCAGCAAACAGCCTTCTAATGGAAGAAGATGCTGTCTTTCATAGCTAGACAGTGAAAGTCTACAACTGGCTTCAAGTCCTTGAAGGACAGGCCTACTCTCTTGGTAGGAACTAATGCAGCTGGTGACTTTAAGTCGAAGCCAATTATTTACCTCTTCAGAAATTACCTAGAATCCTAATGATGCTAAGTGTACTCTACCTGTGCTGTATAAATGGAACAGCAAAATCTGGATGGCAGCATATCTGTTTACAGCATGGTTCACTGAATATTTTAAGCCCACTTGAGAGACCTCCTGACTAGAAAAAAGGATTCCTTTTAAAATATTGCTGCTCATTGAAAATGTCCTGATCTCTCAAGAGCTCTGATGGAGATGTCCCAGGAGATAAATGTTTCATGCCTGGTAACGTGACATTCATTCTGCAGCTTATGATCAAGAAGGACTTTGACTTTTAAGTCTTGTTATTTAAGAAATATGTTTTGTGAGGCCAGAGCTGCCATAGACAGTAATTCTTCCCATAGATTTGGGCAAAGTAAATTGAACACCTTGTGGAAAGGATTCACCATCCAAGATTTTGGAAGAAGTTGATTCCAATCTTTGTGGATGACTTTGAGGGGGTTTAAGATTGCAGTGGAGGAAGTAATTGTGGTGGAAATAGCAAGAGAACGAGAATTAGAAGTGGAGCCTGGAGATGTGACTAAGTTATTGCAATCTTGTGATAAAACTTGAATGGATGAGGAGTTTCTTCTTAGATGAGCAAAGAAAGTGAATTCTTGAGGTGGAATCTACTGGTAAGGATGCTGTTCACATTAATGAAATGACAAAGGATTTAGATTACATCAACTTAGTAGATAAAGCAGAAGCAGAATTTAAGAGGATGACTCCAATTTTGAATGTTTTACTGTAGGTAAAATGCTGTCAGACACCATCAGATGCTACAGAAAGACCTTTTGTAAAAGAAGAGTCCACTGATAAAGCAAACCTTACTGTAGTCTTATTTTAAGAAATTGCCGCAACTACCCCAGCCTTCAGCAACTACCACCCTGATCAGTCAGCTCTCCTCATTGGGGCAAGATCCTCCACCAGCAAAAATAACTACTACTCATTGAAGGCTCAGATGACTGTTAGCATTTTTTAGCAATAGAGTATTTTTAAATTAAAGTACATACTTTTTCTTTTTTAGACATAAGGCTGTTACGTACTTAATAGACTACTCTATAGTGTAAGTTTAACTTTTGTATGCACTGGAAAAGCCAAAAAAAAATGTGACTCACTTTATTGGTGGTGGTCTGGAACCAAACCCACAATACCTCTGAAGTGTGCCTGTAATTCATATATCTCTGTTCTATGGGTGCCAGCTAAAAGGTAATTACATTTTATGAGAATGCAAGGTTTTTAGTTTTTACATGTCTGAAATAGAAATGCAGCTCTGTGTAGTGAGCAGAATGAATGGAGAATTAAATTGTTTATAAATGACTCTTTAAAACAAATGTTAGCATAATCATTCAGAATTATTTTTAAGTTCAGTCAACATTTCTGTATATGCCGTTTATTCTATCTGTTAAAGTTTACCATAGAGCCATTTAAATATTTTTAAGCCAAATTTACTAGAGTCCATTAAAGAACAAGAAACATTAATTGCAGTGTAAAAATCTACAGGGGCAGCATACTGTAATACAAATAAAACTATGTTAATAAAACAGTGAAGAGATTGGTGGCCAATAAAATGAACCACTATTAACCCATCATTCTTTTTCATTTGTTTAAAGTAAAGGGAAAATTATACTTATTTTTTGGACAAAGCTCTTGTTCATTCCTTTGCTGAGGTGACTTTTAAATGGACTTGAGGAGGCACATCAGACTTTTTGGATTTGTCTCAACACTCTGGAGTTACGTCTTCTCTTCTCACATGGAGTTCATTTACCGCTGATGATAGAATAAGCCTTGAACCTGATAAATGATAGATCATTTTGGCAGGGCTTCATCTCAAAATATTTTATCTACTTTAATTTTTTTTGTACTGTATTTTCAATTAAATAAAAAATAACATATTTATGAGATATAATTCATTGTGTTTTATTTACAGACAGGTGATACCAGCGAAGAGTAAGGTCTATGATAGCCAGGGGCTCCTCATTTTTAGTGGGATGGACCTCTGTGACTGCCTCGATGAAGATTGCTTAGGATGTTTCTATGCGTGTCCTGCCTGTGGTTCTACCAAATGTGGAGCTGAATGCCGCTGTGACCGCAAGTGGCTGTATGAGCAAATTGAAATTGAAGGAGGAGAAATAATTCATAATAAACATGCTGGATAACCTGTGATATCAAACTATGGGACCTTTGAAGGTCTTTATTTCTAAAATTCTGTTACTCTAAGATACATGTTAACCTTGATTGTCAAACGACAGAGATTTTGAAACCACCTCAATGTGCAGTAATTTTTCATCTTGGGTGCTTTAAGATTCACTATTTGATATAAATTTAGATAGGCTATTTCTCAGTAGTCAGTGTTAAGCCTGTCTGGATCAGTATAAACAAGTAGGGTGTAGGCAGTTCTCACTTTGCATGGTTCCCATGGGCACAAATTTCAATGACCTAGATTTAAACAACACCAGTTTCCTTACCAGGAAGGAAAGGAAACTGGTGATGTTTAAATCTAAGTTAAAATTTTAGTTAGCACAGTATAACTATGAATAATTACATAAGGTACAAACTTTTCTGCTAGTTCTTCAGTCTACAAATCACTATGTAAATAACAGATATGCTTCATGATCAGTGACCAGTCATGTTACTTTGAAATTCTTCCAGTGGTTGGTCCCTGTGCATCTGTTACTCAGTTCACTCACAGCAGAGCACGTAGTTACGCTGTCTTTTTGTCATCCACTTGACATTTTATAGAAGGGAACAATCAGCCAACAAAGGTCAAAGTGCAGCAAAGCAATGAAAAATGGTAACACTGGAAGTGAAATTTGAATCAAACATAAATGGATTTGTAGAAGTCACTGATCATGGGAATGTTGTTCTTGCTGCTATGCATTCATAGGAGCTTAGTGAAGGCAAACTTATCAATACATGTAAGAAAAGTGGTTTCAATAAAGATAAATGTGTCCTGGCACAGTGGCTCACACCTATAATCCATGTGCCAAGCATTACAGGTGGGCCATGTAATTGGGAGGCTGAGGTTGGCAAATCGCAAGGTCAGGAGTTGGAGACCAGCCTGGCCAACATGGTGAAACACCTTCTCTTCTAAAAATACAAAAAATTAGCTTGACATAGTGGCATATGCCTTTAATCCCAGCTACTCAGGAGGCTGAGGCAGGAGATTTGCTTGAACCTACGAGGCAGAGATTGCAGTGAGCTGAGACCACGCCACTGCACTCCAGCCTGGGCAACAAGAAAAAAAAATGTCCCAGAGGAAGGGAAAAATGCATTAAAGAATATTTAATGTGAATACAGAAATATTTCAAAAGCACAAGCAATAAAAGGGGGGAAGACGACCCAAACTTTAAAAAGGTGGTATGACAGTTTGCCATGAATAGACAAGATGCTTACTCAGTACCATAAGTTACTTGGCAGAAGAAAAGACAAGCCCTATTCAAACTACTTAGTTTCTACAATGAAATAAAACAGTGTAATTCTATTTCTAATTTTTAAATTACAGTGTACTACGTAAATAGTTTTAAACTTTTTTTGCATTTTTTTCCTACATTTACAAATGATCTTAAAAGTTAATATTTTAGCAGAATTTTAAAGGTCATGGAACATTTTCCCCATAGATTATTAAGATTGTTTTGCATGGCCATTTTTATGGTGCCGTAATACCATGCACAATGAGGACTGCTTGCACCTGGGAACAATGCCTGCTTCGGGGAGAACTGATTCGACAGAACTGACTAGTTGAGTGTCAAACTATTTTGGAAATAATCTACATATCTAAGTGCTGAAATATATTTCTCTTCTCCCCACTTATTCAAATAAAAACATGTTAATACTATAAACCTTTCATTGTTTGCACCACGTGCTCCTTGTCAAAATGGTTCTGGGGGACAAAAAAATCTATAAAGCATGAATATACACACTGTACATAAACAGATAATATACCTGGTATCAAAATTGGGGAGGTGGTTGATTAGGATTATAAAAAGACTCCTTAGGGAGTGATGATGAAAAACAAACACTGGTTAATATAGAGTATAAATAAATGACTTGGAAATTGATTGTATCTTGATGGAATTTGCTCGGATGCTGTTTAGAAGATGGGGAAATGGTATCATCTCTGTACCTTTTTAAAGACAGCTGTCATTTTGTCTAAATGCTTTTTGTCACATAGGACATTGCCACTGAACTACGTTTGGGGTTTTTTTCCACCCTAAATACAGTCCTTCAGTTTAATCAGTTGTGCTCTTAGCAATTTGAAAGATTTTGTAGCCATTAAAACTCAATTTATACAGCCAGTTTGAATTGACCATTAGAGGGTTTTTGTTTGTTTTTATGTTTTTAAAATGACTGCTTTTAGTTTGAGGGAACAGCATGTTCAACTTTGGAATTATATATCATTTTTAAGTTTTGATTGTACATTCACCTGTTCACTCACCTGTTATCAGAAGTACAGTTAGCTTCCTTGTTCTGTGTGATTTACCTGAGCACTGGCAAAAATACTATTTCACCTTTATTCACTTAAGTCAGATGCTAGATTTCTTTTCTCTAAGGAAATTTTTTGTTATTGAGGATATAAACACTCCAGTTTTATCTGAACATCAGGGTCATTAGATCTTCATTGTTTCTACCATCTTTTAGTTTTTCTAAGTATGACATCGCTTAGACTTTTCATAGGGACAAATTAAAATCTTAGGTTTTTTACTTAAAATAGGAATATTTGTTATGGAATAAGTGACTTTAAAATTGCCATATTGCAGCATTTCTTAGACCTGTTTTTTTCAAAGACGTAATAAGTTTTTGAAAGGAAAATATTCTTCAACAATTTTGCCAATATTTGTTCTTACTCATTTAGGGAACCAAACTTTTAATGAGCATACAAAATGTGTAGAGAAAGATATATCCGATTTACAGTAAAGCTGTAATAAAGCTATGTTTTGGAAAAATTAATTAGCCTACTTACTATTTTGTAATATAAAATTACAGAAATAACCAATATAAATGAAATCATCTAGAGCCTCTTTATATTGTGCCTAAATATTCCAAGTGACTAAGTTACTTTAGAATTCTATTTGTTTTTTAGATTAAGTTTTATAAACAGTTTCTCTTGTGTATAGATGCTAGTAGAGAAGTTAAATCACAAATGTTGGTCTCACACAATTTTGATCACAAATATTAAGGTAGAAATGCATGCATATATTTGAATGTTATGATTTTTTTTCTTTTTTACAAATATGGAAATAGCTATTTACCTTGTAACATATACAGGATTCTTCTATTTTTAAAATATTATGTTTAGTTCTATATAACATGCTGTTCTACAACCTGACAGTCTTCTAAAACTGCTTACCTGGCATGGTTTCAAGCAAGTAATTTTTAGCAAATGAATTTTGAAATACCCATAATGATTAATTAATAAGAAAATAATTGTAGTGAGTTTTATTATGGTCTTAACTTTTTGGAAGTTAAAGACCCCTGTGAGAAGGTGATGAAGACTATGAACTAACTTCCTGGAAAAATACCTGCATTCATGTACTCACAAATATCCGTGTTCAGAATTCCTGAACATGTGTTAGAGTGCCTGGGTAGTATGAAATATTCCGTAAACCATTTTATTTTTTCAGTTGAGGTTGGCTAAAGTGTCGACTGATTTGTTAAATAGTCTTGTGGGTGGCTATTTTAAAGAAAAACAAAACCAGAACATTTCAGTCCTTGAGAAGAGCTATGACTGCCCTGAAACATCAGATCCCACTGGCCTCAGATACCCCTTCCACCTCCAAAAGGTGATTACACGTTGAGTTACAGTATAGAAAACTGATGTCTTATCTGGACTGGATTTTGGTAGAGGTTTTCTACCTCCGCTATGGTTGCCCTGCTTATAGCTTACCATTCTTGTGCAAAATTCATGACGCTGCCTAAGTTTTTGCTGACATCTGGTATCTTCATGAAAATAAACTGCCCTCAGCTATTACTAGTTTCCCTTAATCTCTTATAAATTTAACTGTGAACATGTAATTACGTAATAGCCTGCTGAAGTGGATGTTTTTGAAAATCAAATGGTTTCTCTATCATTCTTAGGTCTTGCCCAACAGCAGTCAACCATATTGGGTGTTAAGTTTCAAGAATATGAGTGAGAATACAGAAATATACACAGGCAATTCTGAGTCTCTTTTCACTTATTTTTATAAAGTGGAGGTACTTGGGAAGTAATGTTTTTATCTACTTTTTTAAAAAATCATGAAACTCAACTGAACACTTAGTTTGAAAGGTAATAGCCTTCGGCAAAGTATATGTCTCAATGTGTGTGTTGTAATGGTATAGTTCTGAGGATTGACTAATCAAGATTATTTAACTTTTAGAAAAACAGGAAATTTACTAGATAAAGCAGATTATTAACTCAATTGGGATAGTAATAAAACACCTTCAAATACAAAAGGTGTTTAAATTTGGAAGTAGTATAGTTCTAGCAAATGCCACAACTAAAACGTGTTTTTTCCCCCTTGAAACTACGAGGGAATGATTTCTTGTTAAACATACAGTGATAAGAAACTTGATTTCATGTCATTACAAGCAAACAAACATTTTATTTTTTAAACAGTTTCTGGCCAGGCGTAGTGGCTCACGCCTGTAATCCCAGAACTTTGGGAGGCAGAGGTGGGCAGATCACAAGGTCAGGAGTTCAAGACCAGCCTGGCCAACACAGTGAAAGCCTGTCTCTACTAAAAATTTAAAAATTAGCCAGGCATGGTGTTGCATGCCTGTAGTCCCAACTACTGGGGAGGCTGAGGCAGGAGAACACTTGAACCCGGGAGGTGGAGGTTGTGGTGACCTGAGATTGCGCCACTGCACTCCAGCCTGGGTGACAGAGTGAGACTGTCTCAAAAAAAAAAAAAAAAAAAAAAAAACTTGCCATAATCTATCTACCCTATGGTTTTGAAATAAATGGACTTATTAAAACTAATGTTTGCAAACATTGTTAAACTTAACAAATTTCCCTTTGTTATCAATAAGCAATCAGTTACATTGAAGAATTTGAAAAATATAATTTAAATCATTGGTTTTTGCTATATTCTCACACACCAAATTTATGATTTGGGCTTAAATTGAAAATTAAATTGGTTATTGTGTCACATAAGATGAAGTAAGCAATAGTGGTAGTACTGGTACCATGTAAAT